GTGAGGGAGAGAATATAGTTTTCATCGAGTACTTAGGTGTATTAAATTAATAACATTTCAGACATTGTTATAAATATTTTTATCCATTTCGATTTTAAAAATGTTCGAACCGTTTTAAATTCGAATTTGTTATTTCGTATTCGTATTGTATGCGTTTTAGTAGGGTATGCCATGAGAATGGACACTAAGAAGGGATTTTTCTAAATTCTCCCGCGGGGGGAGAGGGAGAGGATTAAGCTTAACCGGAAGAATGGCTTCTACTGTACTATTTTAGATGCGATTTTTTGTTTTTAACTACGTTTAGTCTTCGTTGAGTACTTGTGTATTAAATTGATAACATTTCAGACATTTCTATTTCGATTTTAAAAATGTTCGAACCGTTTTAAATTCGAATTTGTTATTGCGTATTGGTTCGATTATAGAACGATTGTAAACGTTCCAGAAAATTGATCAAATTGAAGATAGTTCGTTTTATTCTCGGCAATTCTCTTCAGCGGTAGGTGTTATATGACAATTACTATGGTTATTGAAATATTGAATGTAAATGGGGTTTGCTTGCAAAACCTCCGCGGACGAAGTTGCGGGTAACAGCTAGTTCATATAATGCTTCCAGGCTACAAGTAAGGCCAGTAAGGCACACGTCATAGACTTTAACGGTTCGTGTCTCATTTCTCTGTTTTTTGTTCAGTACTTATATTACGTTAATATAACATATAGCGATATTATAATTTTTGTTTAGCAATTTGTATTTCGTTTAATATCTCGGGATGTACAGTAGATTAAGAGACGAAATTTCGCGCGATGACTCGCATATAAGAAGCGTCAAAAGTTAAATTTTGGACTACGGAACCTTAAGCTCTCTCCAACCTGTGGGCATTAAGAGGATCTTTTTTAACAAGTCCATTATGGATTTCGCCACGTCTACAGTGAGTATGGCCGGTGATGAAAGACGAGACCAGATTCTGGGTCTCCAGTCGTCCTACTTTACGATCTTGAAAAACTCGAGAGGATGGATAGATAGAGAGAGTCACGTGTCATACGTTTCAGAGATGAGTCGGACTAATGAAAATTTCGCTCGTTATTGGCATTTGCAATATTTTTAAAAACTCGTCTCTAAACTCAAAATTAAGAATATTTTGGACAATAACAACAATTAGTGTTAAAAACTAACTTTTATATTATAATTTGATAACAGAGAATGCCATATATAAATTTGACTTTTAGCTACTGCCAGTGTCTTTTTTAATATTCTTAAAATGAAGATATTTATAATAATTCAACAAAATTATCCCTTTCAAGCTTTGTTATTATTTAATTTTAATCCTAATATTAAAAAAAAAATTATCCTAATGGTCCCCTCAACCTTCCGCTCGAGACTCGCAGGCATTTTTTAAAAAACTTCCGCAGTTTTGTTGAACGATAACGACGAAGTAACGCAATTTCGCTTTGTAGCGGAAAACGAACGTCTTAATTCAAGAAAGGCGTTGAATACCGAGTAAAGGCCCTCGGCCACCTGCAGAACAGTAAAACAAAATGATAATTTTAACGAATTCAAGTGCGGATGCAATTTGCACTTGCACTTACTTTAATGAAGAAGTCCTTCTTGACAACAATGAATCCCGCCATAGAGAATCCCAGAGGAGTCTTTCCGTATCTCTTCGCGAAGCAAAGAATCTTCAAAAAGAAAATAACACTGAATAAAATATTAAGAAAATTATTGAAATAAATAATATAATGTAAAC